CTCTCAAAAAATTGGATATTGGGCGTTGCTCCAAGTTGAGAGATCATTACTCTGACAAAACAAGAGATGATTGGAAACAAATATCACACATTCCTCAAGTTCATATATCCAATTAGTATTAATCAGGTATGGTTATTCACACATTTTTTTATGTATCTATCATCTTTGAAGTCAAATAATTGCTCCTTATAGAACTACAACAAAGGAAGGCCTGCTAGATACTTATTCTAATTACTACTTGTAGAATATGACCTGTGCTTAACAACGAATCAAATGTTAACAGAGCCATATGTATAATGAAAATATGAAATATTCATTAATAGTTTAGAATGAATTTTTTTTTAATTGAGAAGATGCAATTCATTAACTAGTAAATACAACACTAAATTTCTAATAATATCTAACTATAAACTCTTTGACTTTGGAATTTCATTTATGTCTTGTCTTTTTATTCTTTTTTTTTTTTTGCTTTTGTCCTTTGTTTTTCAGATAATATTCATTGCTGGCTCAAAATGAAGCTACAGCAAAAGGCATTGACGGATCAACCTCTACGTCAACTTTTCACTTGGATTCATGCAAAATTTCGAATAATTGTAAAAATATGGTTGAAGCGACACATCCACTTGCTTTGTTCAAAATCATTTGTTGAAAGCGTCTGTAACCTTGTCAATTTCCAGATTGAATTTCAAGTGGGTACACAACCAGTCTTTATTTCTTCAAATTATTATTGTCCTATTGTATGTAAGTTTGTGTACATTTAATAAAGAAGAATGTTTGTACATTGTGCTTATCTATACAATGTATTATTGACAACCTATTATTAGTGCACTTATTTTATAGTATTATTCTAAGAATAACATGAATTCAAATTTGAAATTCAAATAATATGCATGTGGCATGCATCCAATAATGTTAGTAATAAAAAAATCACTGCACTGTGACTGCATAAAAGTTAATCCTTATTCTAATGGTTAAAAGATAACAAGTAGACAAATTATTCTTTATCTTGTTTCCTTTCTTAAAAAAATGTTTACATAGATAATTGGAATAACAAAAACTCAGACTACCAAAATGCATATACGCTTAAAGGCACCAAAACTCATGATACTTTTATAGTAGCAGTAGCAATGGTAGTTCCAGTAGTAGTAATGACAATGATTTGTTAATAATGCTTTCTTCTAAAAGTGAATGGACTAATTAGCTTTTTTTTAAATTTTTTTTAAGAAGGGAAGGAATGAAATTTAAGAAGTGGGGAGGAGATAAGGTGACTAAAACAAAATATCATAATAAATCTTGACAATTTCATTCACAAGACAAAAGTTACTACCAACAGAATTTTGAACTTGAAAGTTTGTATGACATATTGATAGGGTATAATTTGTTAGTAATTTTATTATTAATTTCCCCTTCTATCCCTGATAAATAGTGTGCTAATTGCTGATATTTACTCATATTTGGTATCTGGACTTAATTTCAGGAATGAAGCAGAAAATCATCAAAAAGGAAGGACTTTATGGAAAATAGGGAGACTTCTAAGGGCTTCAATTCTTGGGCCCTTGAATTGGTGGGGGACCACAAGCTAGTGGAAAGCATCTAGTCATTTGGGCTTCAAAGAAAGCAACGTAAAGAGACTTGGAACAAGAAGTACTTGGGAGGCTTTGTCCACATGTGTGGGGACCACCTAGATAGCTTTTAGTCATCTTTCTTTTGTTGCTTTAAAAGGGGACAACGTACAGAAGCAGGGACATCTCAAGTTTTAGTCTTTTAGTTTAGTTTTAGTTTTGCTTTCTCCGGACTGGCCTCTGACACACGCCAGGTATTCGACAATATTCCCCAACGGGGAGAGTTTCTCATGAGGCGTGGTTAAGCTTTTCTAGTCAAGGGGACAACTGACGATTTGGTTCGACAATTACTGTGAGATCGAATCTGTTTTAATTATTTTCTTCATTTATTGGTATTTATATGTTCCTTGATTTTAATTGCTATGGCCTTGTGTATGATTGATTAGTGCGCAATAATTAATTATTCATATAGGCTATTTTTGCTAAATATGGGTAATTGAATCCGTAATTGTTCGTTATCTCTACCTCAGTAGCAACTGGCGTAATTGGGTTTATGTCAGGGGAGCATATGATCTAATTTAAACAAACCCTCGTAGCGTGTTTGTTGGTTAGGATTGGGCCTTTCTAATTATTAATGCAATCTAGAAATTAAATCCTACGGTCGTACCTAGGGTTATTTTTGGGTTAGAGAAATAGCTAACGGTCGTACCTTAGCTATCGAGAAATTAAGGAAGGGTTGGTTGTTTATCGCGTGCATGACAACTATAACTAATCTATTTCTAAATGTTGGAATTATTTCTGCATCAATGATCAGTGCATGAACCATTTCTGATGTGTACCCTTGGCTAGAGTTTCCCCAATCATTTCTTTTAATTAATTATTTTCTGCAGTTAATTTATTTAGTTAGCATTTAATCCAAAACCCCCCATACTTTGGACTCTAGAAGAAACAAATTATCCCCAGTCCCTGTGGATTCGACCCTACTCACCGCAATATACAAAATCTGTATTTTTCTCGAGTAGGTATTTATTATTGTACAGGTTCGGCACCTGTCAATTTTTGGCGCCGTTGCCGGGGAATGGTGCCAGATTAATTTGTTTCTTTTTGAGTTCATCTTTTTCTTTTCTTTTTTATTTATTTTTCTCTTATTTTTTTTATAGAGTTTATGGCTTCTAACACTCCGTATTTTGGTGATATAATGGATTTTGTTTCCGGGGAAGGCGATGAGACTAGTTTTTTTGCTAAGTTTGAATATGCAGCGGCACTAAACTCTATTAGAGAAAGAATGGCTGCTGCAACCTATAAAATTTGTTATGCCAGGGATCATTCAGCCGGTATGTGCCCCGAATATCAAGATAATCTGAGTGTCCCACTCAATAATTATAGATATTTTTCACCATGGTCTCAAACGTGGTATAACCCTAATCCAAACGGGTATGATCAAGGATGGTGGGATAACTCCAGTTATAATTATACAACAGGGCCAATGAATTTTCAGCAGTATGAGTCTCAAGAATCATCATCTATGTCAGGTATGTCTCTTGAAGAAATAGTTGAATCATTAGCTACTAATACATATCAATTCCAACAGGAGACACAAAGGAGAAATGAGATGATGAAGGAGGCAATGAGTAATCTGGAAGATCAAATGTGTCTATTGACATCCAGAATAAATCGACTGGCTTCTCAATTTGAAGAATTGCCCTCGAAAACCATTGTTGAAAATGAGAGTGCAATTTGCCTGACTAGTGATGAGGAGCTGCAAGATTTTCAAGAAGAGAGATGTACAGATGCAGTTGAAAAAGAAGCCGAGAAGGAAGAAATGGAACCCCAACCGCAACCCATTCAAGTGAAAGAATCCAGTGAAGAATCATCAAATGTGGTGACACCATCTCCATTCCCTAACCCGCATTTTCTTAACTCTGACTCTATGATTTCTGTTAATGAGATTGATTTTGTTATACCGGAAGTTCTTGAGTCTCATGGCAGGAATGAGTTAAGAGTAGCTATGGTCAAATATCTTGAACCGTTGAATGCTCTTGATGGAGGAGTGGATGAAGAATTGCGATCAATGCTTGATTATATGGAGCCATTAACTAGTCCATGGAAGACCGTAGCTCGTGTGTTCAAAGATTACTCCATCTATGAGGGCTACCAGGATCACATTGAAGATGAAGCATTGAAGCGAGCCACAAGATTTTATCCTCCATGAGCAAAACATGATAATGTCTAGCCAAAGACATTAAAGAAAGGCGCTTTTTGGGAGGCAACCCAATTGTTAATTTTATTGTTTTTCAACTTCTATCTCTTCTTGTTCATCTTCTACCAAGGCTAGTGTTGACATTAATGTTAGGAAACGAAAATCAACAAGTTCAATTGATGGAGAAATGTCCACGACAATCTGCCAGAGGTTTACTCAACCAATGGATTTTAAGGAAACAACAAATGCAATGACTGGTGATATATCTATGTCATCGATGGTGCTGGCTGATGATGTGGTTATGAGGCTGCTGCTACTTGAAAATAGAGGTAAAAATTCATTAAGTGAATCTGTTCAATTTTCAGCTATGGTACATTGATGGAGAATGTTATCAGACAAGTTTAAGAAGCTTTTTAAAAGACAATCATGATCAATTTGTGCTTTTAGGTTATTTTTAGCTGAAATATTATTTAGAAAGATAGCTTTGGGTGGTTCTGGAAGTAGCTTAGAATATTGGCAAAACTATCAAATAAGATTTTGTTAAATATCTTTTTCTAGAATGTATTTTGTTTACTTAGATTTCAAAAAGCATCTGCTTGGTTGAGCTGTTTTTTCAAGAACATGTTTTATGTAATTCCATTGGTCTCCAACCACACTTTATTGCACATTGCATGCGTACCAAAATGGTGCTACAGTTTTCTTCCGTGCGTTTACAATGCGCTTGCAGGAGGAAGTTTAAAGACAAAGCACAAAGGCAAAATTGAAAATGAAAAGTACAAACGAAACTTATTTTGTCCAAAAGTATTAGGCAAAAGGATAAGTGACTGTTTTGAATTTTGAGGGGTACAAGTGCATTTGGATGTAAAATTGAACAGGCTGAGCAACTCCTTGTTCATTGGAAGATCCTCTCTATTATGTTTCTGCTTCACAGAATCCAACATTTGGAATGCAGTGGATAATAATGGCTCATTCACTCACTAAATTACTTAGTTGAATAGCTACTTAAAGAGTTCAAATATTTGCACTGTGCGCTTAGCTTCCCAAATGATGTGTTGGATTCCCATTTTGCGCTAAATAGTTTCTTCTAATTACTGTAATTCATATAAGAGTTGTTCCCAGCTACGTTTACTTTGAGTTAATTTGCAGCTTCCATTATACGAGCATTACTTCCCTCTGAAGTCAAGCTGGCAATGGAGATAGCAGATACAGATTCATCCTCAGAGTTTCACACCTTTCAGCATCCAGCACCTTGTGCGGAAACTTGAAAACGGTCGACTTGAACGAAAGTCCGTTGGAGCAAGAAAAACGACTTCAAGCTCGGTTACAGGCCTTGGGAAAAGCAGGTAGTGAAGCCCATAAGTCCTCTTCAAAGCATTGGAAATATAAGTTGTTGGTCTTTATTTTTGTTAGGAAATGGTCATAGTTCCTAGAGACTACAATTTAGATGGAAGGTCTCCATTGTTGTGGAAATCATTATTCACCAATCATGGTTCAGAAATCTACCGTTTTATGGCATTCTTGTATTTCATCTTGCAATGTTGTAGACACGCTCTTTTTTCCTCTAATTTTGGAATATATGAAAAATATCCTGATGATTCACGGCATACTTAAACAGTCCATGTTCATTATCTAGATGTCAATCTCAGAGTGAAATATATGAAGCACGTTTAAGAAAAGATTTGGTTGGTAAAGCAACTCGGGTAAAGTGCAGTAGTCATTTTACTCAATAAATTTTGAACTCACTAAAGTTCGTCGTCATAAGTTCAAAAGTTGACATTTTACTTCTGTGTTGCACATTTGATGGCAGTGGAGAAGGGTCGCCAATTTTATCCCAGTTGCTGTGAAGTTCTTGGCAGTTTCTGGAAAATGATGCAGAGGATGTAAGAATCAAAGAAATTAAGGAGGAGATCACTAAGGCATTTGAGACAGACAAAGCTAGAATTCACTCAACACACTTTTCCGCACCTTCACCAAGTGAAACTGGTGAACCCCTTTCTCTTCTAAGTTATATGTTTGTTTTTCCTTACATTTATCTATGTATTTTGTTTTGGGTTTTTTAAGCTCTGTCATCTCTGAAATTTTGGCAACAATTTGTTAGATACTGACTTCTTGTTGGAGAAGTTCGGAAAGCTGCTGAAAGGAATTAATATAACAAGTAAAAGACAAACCATGGGACTCGATGAGGCAATGATGGCATTCAATAATAGATAAAGATAGGAATTTCTCATCATCATCATCTTCTGGCACAATATCTAGTGTGAATCAAGGTGTGGCCGTGGGAAAAGATCATTGTGCTAAATTTGGTTCTTCATGAGCATGGGAACATTCATTGCCATCTGTTTCAAGCTCAAATACAGCCTATGGCTTACTAAAATCAAGTTTTTCTTCTTGTAAACGTATGATAATAGATCATGAACTAGCTGTATTAATCTATATTAATCCCAGGTATGCTATCAATGTCCCTTTTCTTCTAGGTGTTTTTAGCTTACAAGAGCACGATAATGAAATTATGAACTTGCTATAATCTGATTCTTTTGCTATTTGACTTGAATCTCTTTGCGCATCCATAAAGCCAATCTTTCTTTTGATTAGGCATTGCATAGAACTCTAGAGTTCAAAAGTTATGCATGCAAACGACATACACGTGGATCTAGGAAGAGTCAAGTTTAGTTGCCTTACTGATGCAAATAAAGAGGTCCTAATTGAAGTCATTGCCACCATGAGGGGAGGAGAAAGATAGCAACTAGAGCTTTCATTAATTATCAGTTCTAAAGGAAGTGATAGTTGGGATCTGCCCTATGTTATTTTACTTAGTTGATGTAGGCACCATTATTTGCATGAATCATAGTCACGAATAAAGCTCAATTCTTTGTTGGTGTTTTCCATTGTCTACAGTGTTAATTGAGGTTTTGAATATTTGGAGGGAGATTAACACTCTTCTTTAGTGAAAATCTTTGTCATCTTTCATGATATTGACAGATGCAAGGAAAGGAGAAAATAGAGAAGACAATTTTTTTGCAATATATATAGGCCCTATTTGGAAAGTGAGTTTTTTTAGGAGTTTGTCTAAAACTTTATTATAACTTACTGTAGAAGTTTTTAAAAATTTTTTTGAAAAGTCTAGATTTTTGAATATTTTGAAGTGTATAGTTTAAAATTTTTGAGAAATTTTTGAGGTTACTGTAGCTAAAGTTTTTAAAAACTTACAGCCGACGAACTTGAGAAAACACTTGGGTAGGTCAGCTTTTTAGGAGTGTTTTTTAAGCTTGAACCATAGGGTGATCAGACACCTGGTCGAATCATGATTTGTTTGGTTAAACCAGCCATGTCGTTCAGTTTGTCGAATGATAGCAAATAAAAATCCTTTAGAATGATAAAGAATCCACAAGAATGGGAAGCAAGGCCGAAATTCAATTGGAAGTTTAGATGAAACCAAGGAAAAGCACTTAAAAATTACTATTAAATTGGAAATGTAATTGTACCTTTTTTAATTTTTTATGCAATGTAATGGTAAATGTATCTTCACTATTAGAAATTCAAAACATCAAAATATGACAATTAAAAAGATAAAAGCATTCTGCATTTCATTTTTTTTTCTTTTTTCAAAATTTCCAAGAGCTAATTGGGATCATCAATATATGCAAAGCAAAAATAATAAAGCAGTCAAAAATTTCTTTTTGTCGTCTAACTTAAACACAAAAAATAAAACTGTCCAGATAATACTAATTTACATGAAGAAATCAATTTGCATAAGATTTATTAATAGTAATTACATACTCAGAAAAAGGAACAAAACTTAAACAGTAAAAATTAGACAAACATGTAGAAACAATAGATGTTAATTTCTTGAAGAAAATGAATGAGAGATTTTTAAGCACTTCAAACACTCGTGCCTAGAACGAGTAGTAGCAAGCAACCGCATAAGCTGAAATTGATTGACAACGAAAAGAAATGTGAGGAAAAAAAAAAAGACGACACAAAGCATTTAAAAAAAAAAAAGGGGAATCACAAAAAGTTGATAAGTTTGTGATTTTTATTTTACTCCATTTTATACTTGTATACTTTAAATTAGTCCGTGAATTTGCAGAACACCCAAACCAATGGAAGGGTTTTTTCAATTCGAATGGTGCTGGTCCATTTTAGTCTTCAGTGTGTACCTTAAATAGTAAATTTTGTGTGAAGTTAAATTATGTTCCAAGGGCTTCCATTAAAAATTTCTGTTCTATTTTCCTTTTTCCTATCCCATTTGAGAAGAGTTGGAGCCCCTTTTGTTCATAAATAAGGAGGTATCAATGAGATTGCTAGAAACCATCTAACATGATTTGTATAACAAAATCAGGAGGGACGTTTCATAGAAAATCACTACAATTGGCAGATCTTGCATAAGAAGCTAGACTATGTGTCAATTTGTTTGTCTCTCTTGAAACCCAATTTACATTGACACAGTTTTGATCTAGCAAATACATATGAACACCATCAATTACAGTCCTTATATATCGTCTTTTATCTCTAAGAAGCTAGATAATCGATGATGTCCACCTACAAATGTGTATTTATAACCACCTACATTACATATGGGAGTATTTCCACGAAGTATAAATCAATTCCTTAGTGAAAATTGTGATTTATTTGGATAACATATAGACAAAATTCTTGTTTGTTGTGCATGCTTGTGAATTATGCCCTTAAATAACAATATACATTTGGAATTCTTTTTTTTTTTTTTTCAGATGCAGGGGATATCCGGTCCTTCGGTCCGACTAATTCCCCTGCGGCCGAGAGAAGAGGCCCCATCCCCTCAAACACGGTAACCATGGGACTCGAACCCTAGTGAGACTGAACAATGGTTCCTAAGGAGGCTTCTGTAACCTAGGGCTGCAAACGAATCGAGTCGCGCGAGCGGTTCGAGTCGAGTTCGAGCTGATTCGAGTCAAAATCGAGCTCGAACTCGAGCTCAAAATATTAAGCTCGAGCCGAGTATGTATATATATATATATATATATTTAAAATTTTTTATTTTAAGTATATATATATTTTTATTTTTATTTTAAGTATATATATATTTTTATTTTAAGTGTGTATATATTTTTTTTTATTTTAATGGTAAAATTACATATATATCCTTAATATTTTATTATTTATTAAGAAAAATATTATTTTATTTATTTTTTTAAAAATAAAATAATTATTTTTTATTTTTTTCGAGCTCGAGGTTTAAATTGCCAGCTTGTCGAGTTCGAGCTCGAGTTCGAGTTCAATAAAATTAAGTCAAGGCTCGGTTCAATTAGGTCAAAACTCGACTCGGCTCGACTCGTTTGCAACCTTACCGTGACCAACCAAGCTGCCCATGAGAGGCACATTTGGAATTCAAATTTTGGTAATATTGATTTTTCATTTTCATTTGCTCCAATGTGTTGTGAGCGGTGAAAATTGACAATTATACCTATGTTAAGTTTGCTTCCCAGCTAGCCTCGGTGCTTCTGAGAATTTCCTACTGTATGCAAAGTAAAAGATATATTCAATCCTTTTTTTAATATAAATATACATAATGATAAGCTGTTTGGATTAGCTGTTTTTGGGAATTTGCATGCCTGTATTATTTTTTGACTCCAACAATGAAAGGCCAATTTTATCTATTTTTTATGCCTTTTTGTAGAAATTTGGTAAGTTATTCTGATGGATAATGAATTGTATCAACAAGGGTTTACTAAGTCAATTACCTTTATTGATGTTGGAAAATTTTCAAAATTGGTCAGTTGATGTCCGGCCCCAGTCTTTGGACTGGACATTGAACTAAACATCACCAGATTCTTGAATTGAACAAAATATGTGGTGACCGACGCCGGTCTTGCGATTAGACATCACCTGAAGTCAGTCTAACGGTCAGAAATTGAACGTATTTGGTACCTCTTCATGCTACAATGGTTAGTCACCTTTTGAATGGTGCTAGAACGTCTAGAATGGTCTAAACACTTACAATAGTTTTTTTTTTTTTTTTCGACACAGGGTTATCCGGACCTTTGCTCCGACTAATTCCTTACGGCTCGAGAATTGAGACCAATTTCTTTCGAACACGTTAACCCCAGCATTCGATCCTTGATAGTCATATTCTAAAGAGGAGCAACACATCACACGAGTTACCCTGGATTGGACACTTATAATAGTGTCTGAGAAATCATTTAGTTAGCACAATTCAAAGGACAGACACATGTTTTGTAGACTAAATGTCACGACTTTGACCACTCACAATCTCTACTTTGTATAAGGTCTAGCGGGCTGGAGGTGGTCTACCGCAGAAAATCACTTTCTTACTCTTTAAAATCCTCTACAAAAACATACCATCATTCAAGTTGATTTATTTTATTTTGTGCAAAAATTAAAGATAAACATCCTTCAAATATGCTAAAGGATATTTGTTCAAGTCCTTTGCATATTAAAAATCTGGACAAATATAGTCTAAAGGAAAGTGATTTTGAGTCGTGATTTGAAGCGATTTTGTATAATTTCTATTTGTAATCATTAGCTATTTTCTTGTATTTTATTTTTTGCCCTAACAATTGAGATTAAAAAAAGGTCTGAAATATTCTTAAAAATTTTTCAAAAATATTTTGTGAAAACCATGTCCAAACGGACCAAGTCTGGTATCCATCCTTCAATCTTTCAATCTTTTGAATGATTTTCCTTAAATAAAACTCAGCCTTAAGGAAAAGTAGACAAAACAAACAACCAAACTAACTTTTGCATGGAAATCCTACAAAAAGTGAAAGTATTGAGAGAAAATATACTCTCTATAAAATTTTAGGAGTGAGAAACTCTTATTAGGAAATTCTATGGTGAATAATTTATTACAGAATTAAAAAAAAAAAAAAAGGACCATTGGGAGAGAGACCATTGGAAGCAGAGAGAAGGCTGAGAGATTTTTTTTTCTTTTTGATTTTATGTTATTATTGCTACATTACATAATATTATAGTGAATTGATAATCTGGGATTTGATTATTCCGAGAGAGTTTAAAACATATGAGCAAAGAGTTAATTGAAAAGGACAAAAAGAATAGTACTCTAAATTATGGGATTTTGACTTTCCAAAAGGAGGGGACTCCCAAGTTTGTTTGATTTATGAAAACCAAATGCTTGTGGAATTGTACTTTAACGCTAATCCCTCTTTTGCTTTCATGATTAGCTAAAAATTTCAACATTTA